TGCAGGCAATTTGCGGGAAAATAGAACTTTAATTTAGTAGGGGAATAGAGGATTGTATTGCGGTTTTCATGTGATTTAACTTCGCAGAATTTGATAGTTGAATTGAATTCATTCAGAAGACTTAACCTTTGTGATGAGTGGTTTATTCTTTCAACTTCTTATGTGGAATCTTTCAACTTTTTATATGGAATTGATGGTTCTAACTATGATATTATATAAAAATTAATAGTTGAGTTTAGATTTTATTCAAAAAATTTAAATTTTGTAATGAGTGGTTTAGTCTTAATTTTACACACGCTTATATAAACCATTCTTTCATTTATTTCATGGAAGATTGTTGGCGTAAAACCCCGCTAAATTTTTTATTTATTGAGATGGTTTTGGTAGCTGTCATAAAATCTTGGCCAAAATCTTATATGGCGGGAGTATCATGTGAGGGGTGAAATTGAATAGGATTAAAAGTTGAAAAAATTCAAGTTAAATGAAGAAAAAAAAGGTAAGTGGGGGTTTCTAGAGAAAAAAGTAACAAGCTAGAGAAAAACACAAAAAGAAGCGGCCTGCTCCGCCGCCTTTATTTTTTCCATCCAAAATTTTCTAGAAAAACATTATATAAGACAGTTAGCATAGCCAGATATTTTCTTCTTCTTCCACTGTTAGATCATACCGAGATTGGGATATGTGACGCACCTATATGTCCTCTTGAATCTGAATAAAAACAAATACTGTAAAAAGATGTTAACTTATTGTAAACAAAACGCTACTAATTTCAGTTCAATTTATTTTATTCCGTTTGGAGTTATTATTTTTGAACAAGTTTTATGTATATGTACTCTAGTAACTCATCTAAGTTACTATTTGGGCTACTATTTCAACTCCATTTTTGTGTATCGTTACTCCATCATTCAAATTCATCATTTTTTATTTGGATTATAAGGTGGTAAGCCCTTCATGATTATTGATTGTGCAATTTTTATTTGTTATGCTTTTTTAAATCTATTAATAAGTTGTAAATGTTGAGCGACGCTTGGTGAAAATATTAACGAATGAATTGATGATTGTTTGAATGTGTAAAAATATAGTAATAATTTAATTTGTTATGTTTGAATGTATTGTGATGTTTTGAGATTTTTAGTAGGGATGAAAGTATGATGTTTTTTTCATGATAGGATGTTTAGATTGTTGAAATTATGATTGAATGTTGTATGGTACATGAATAAACAATGGGTCAAGTTTTAATTTAATGAATTATGTGACAATTTCTTTTATGTCATGTTAAGGTTTTTTTTTGTGTGAATTAAGTTGAAGTTTTGAGAATCAAGGCTTGAATTTGAATTTAGGTGGTTTAATGATGTTTAAATTCATGTGAATGGATTGAGTAATGAGTTAATTTAGTAAATTAAAAAGAGAAAATTTATCCTTTTATTTCTTTAAGATTTTGGCATGTGAAAATAAATAAATAAAGGAAGGAATTGTTATCATGGAATCTTGGTTGTAATGTGTTAGCATAACCAATTAATAATTAGACAATGGGTTAATTGTGAAAAAAAGAAAAGAAAATATACCCCTCACTTATATTAATCTATTCGGTCAAGATAGGAATTTTTGGAGGAACAATTAGTTGATAAACTTGATATTTATTTATTAATGTAGTATTGTTGTTGAGAAATTTAAATGGTGATATATATATATATATATATATATTAATTGAAAGAATTTTCAAAGAAGATTCTTGCTTTTATATTTTGTTTTGGATGTTTCAGGCAAATAAGGTGAAAATTATGGATTTTGCTTACTGAATTTTAATTGTGGTTTGTTGTGTGTAGAAATCATGTTAGATTAATTATTGACATGTGTTTATGAGAAGATTAACTATTTTTTAAAAAATATAATTTATTTAAATCAAGAAAATTAATCAAGATGGTTAATTTAATGAAATAAATTATACTTGAAAGATAAGTTATTGTGTTATAAATTAATGGTGGATTATTGATACGAGAGAGGTTATCAAAGGGATATCAAGACATGATCTTGCATATTGTGCCCAAACTTCAAGTAAATTCTTGATATCTTTTTATTTAAACTCTATTTAGAATTGTTAAAATACATGTTAGATGAATTTCTTGTACTTTTTAGTTGTATAATTATTTTGTTTGTGTATTGATCAATTTGTTATATGTAATGGAACTAGTGGGAAATGACTAGTTTACCCGGTGTGATAAGATTGGTGCCTTGTAATGAGTTGAGTTAATCAGTTTGCCCTATATGATGGAATTTATGTTGAATAACTAATTTGTTACGTGTGATAAGACTAGTGTCCTATTTTGGGCTGAAATAACTTGTTTGCTCTATGTAATGGGATTGATGTCTTGTTCTAGATTGAGTTAACTTGTTTGTCCTCTGTAATGAGATTGGTACCCTATTCTAGGTGATTGGATGAATGAATTCCTTAGTTTTTAGGAACATGTGGTCTGGACAATAAGTGCTGGAACCTGAATTAGAGGTTGCTAACTAATGTTGGGTCGAAAGAACTCTCCTTGTTCACCAAGGAAACAAATTAGGTAATTTGATAACTTAATTTTAATTGAAAATAATAGTTTGGTTAAAATGATATTTGTTATGTTGACATTTTATTTGTTATACAATTAATTTAATTTAATATTAAATTAAGTTTTAGGTTTGGCATCACCTTATAAGGCTTGATAGATTTGATATCTGATTTTTTTATATAAGATTGATACATGTAATTATGATAGCATTAACATGTAATTTTAAAAAGAAATATAATTGTAAATTTTATTTTGTTCTTTTTGTTATGCCTTAGGGTATTTTATTTGAATTGTTAAAGTCATGAAATGAAAGAATTTAAATATTAGGATGGATTTAATTTAGTCATTAACATGTTGAATTTAATCTAGTTACATGGATATTATTTGAGATAAAATTAAATTTTTATTATGCCATTTTAATTATTTGGACTAGGAATGAGTTCTATATATGGTTTATGTGGATGCGTTTTTTAAAAAAAATTACCTAAATTTTCACATGTATAATTATGGAAAATTTCATGATCTTATAGTTAGTGCTAACAAGCTAGGGATAATGGAGTATTTGGAAATGAAGTTAAATTTGGGTAGTGTCTGTTATTATAATAATAATTGTTTTTTAAAGTAATTTTTATTTAAAAATATATTGAAATAATATTTTATTATTTTTAAAATTTATTTTTAATATTAACATATTAAAAAGATTCAAAAATATATAAAAATGAATTAATTAAAAAAACTTAGAATTTTTTTAAACACACAGTAAACCACGGAAATAAACACATCATTAATAGGTGATGCCATTTCTTAACCAACGTCAATTTAACCAAAAAGAAGAAGAAGAAGCAGACAATATTTTAAATTAATGTATTCTCATTTAACCAGATGGAAACCGTCTCTTTTTTCGGTAGAATGGGTCTTCTCTATTCTCTAGGCCCCCTTTACCTTTACTGTTTCATAAGTCACGAGGGGGATTCTATAAGGTTTGACCCCATCAAGGAATCCATCTCCTTATAGGATGAAACTAGATCTTTCTGTACGGTTATATTTAGTTGTTTTTAATATTTTTTTAGTAAGAAAAATTAAATTATGTCAGAATTAATTTAATATAATTTATTTGACTTGATAAATTCAAAAATAATTTGGATTGCCATTAAAAACATAACTTGACTTAATATAAATGTTCAATATGATATTTTTTATGTATAAATATTAGGACAAAAATATATTTGATTAATTTAGGTTAACCTGTCAAACTGCATGTAAGTTAATGACACCATAATAACACATAGAAAATAAATCAAAATATATTATAAATTTTAATTTCTAATAATTTTAACATTGAAAGATTAAATTAAAAAAAAATAAAAAGTGTTATGAGTCAACCTATCAAACTCGCAACTTAATTATGAAATTGAGATTTTCTAATAAAAAAATTTAAAACAAATAAGAAAGTCTAATTCTCAATCATCCAAGTACTGAAAGATAAAATTTGAAAAAAATATTCAATTAAAAAAAATATAAAAAACAATTTGAGTTAATTTAGATTAATCAACTAAACTCGTAACCCAATTCATCGGGGATAACCTTGTAGGAAAAAATAAATCACAAAGCTTAATTTTCAATCAATTCAATATTAAATGATGAATTAAAAAAAAAATAGTAAGAAAAAAAAAACTTGATTCATCCCGTCAAACTCACGGTTCAGGTCTTGAAATTGAAATAACCTCATGAAAAATTAATTAAAAAAATTATAAAATTTAATTTTCAATAAACATAATATTAAAGATATAATTAAAAAAATATAAATTAAAAAAAAAACAATTATTGTGAATAATGTTTTTTCGAGTAGAGGTGGATTAAAATCCCCTTTTCTTTAAATTTTTCTGCCAACTCGTTTACAAGTCCGGGCTACCTTGTTCCATCATTTTTTTTAATTGGTTTCAATGATTTTTCTTAGTATCGAGGGTGGTAAATCAATACATTATACAATATTTTGATGCATGAAACAAAGCTGACAATGTCTTCTCTGGAAGTCATTCTGGATTTTTAACTGGTTTCCCTGCCAGCTAGGTTTTTAAGTTCTGAAGAGTTATCAGCAATGTTTTATAATAGATTTATTTATGAATAATGCTAATCATCAATAAAATATAATAAAAAAAAATCTAAAAATACACAAATTATTAGACCATTATCTTATAATAGAATCAATCGGCTTTATAGTTCCCGCTAATCCAAAAACTCATGAGCGCTCGTGAAGTTTTTTTTTTTTATCATATTTTCTTAATGTTTAACATTATTTTAAATTTATCTATATGCTATATGTTTTTTATGAAAAATAAACGTGAACTTTTAGGAGGCTAAAAATACTAACCATAAATTTTACTGCAACCAAGCTTGAGAACTCTAAATAAATTTTAAGGGTTTTCATTAACATGATCGAACAGAACTGTGATGTAAAGTGCATAACGAGGGAAATACCATAGAGCTCTGGATACTTTAAGCAAAGAATGAGTCGCAAAAGAACTGCCCATGCCTCGACTTGCAGTACATAATACAGCGAATGAGTAGAAGAAAAATACCAGCCAGGCACAGAGACAGTTCACGTTTTCCCGCATCCATAAAGCAGTTCATGTGGTAGAAATAAAAATTAACAAGGTTACATACAACATAGAATTGCGATCCTAGACAGGCAAACCACACCGACCGAAGCCATCAAGACAGGCAGTTCATGGCAAACAAAAGTAGCACAGCTGCGATCATAAGAGTGGCTGATGGATTGACTGAGAAAGAAGAAGAAATACTTCCAACTGGGCCACTTGCTGGAGGTAATCCAGGAAGCGATCCAGTTGCTGGCACAACTTCGGTCTTGGGTGTGGGTGTTGGTGTACTAGAACCATCTGACTGAGGTGCAGGTGCTGGAGCAAAAGTTGAATCCTTGATCACCGTGGTGGGTGGTACTACCAGAGGAGGAAATTGTTGTGGCCCTACAATATTTTTTAACATAAAGCCAAACCAGGTTAAGAGTACCAAAAAATGAATAGCAGAATAAAACTTTGTGGATTGATTCAATTGACAACACAACACAATAAAATAGCAAATTTGTTGAATTCCGACTTTTTTACATCTCAAGTCTCAAAGTTGTGCTCATCATGTTGATGGATTAGAACATCTGGCCAGTAAGCGGTACTGTGCTAAGAGAATTCATCTAGAATTGCTAAGATGTTTTTCCAGGAAAAATACTAATGATACCTGTATAAAGATCCACATTTTGACTCGTTAAGATGTATGCTCAATATCACATCATCAAACACAAAGCAATCCCATTTGGATTAAAGGAAAAATAGAGCAGCCAGTTACTTAACATCCAACCAGTCACTTAAAAGAAAAATAACATTTTACCAAAAATATTTAATGTTCCATATCCCAAAAGAATCTCATGCCCCCAAGAGTGATCAATTTCAATTTCCCATAAATGAATATCATTTATCAAACTTTTACCTGGACATCGAGGTTGGAGATATGTTGACAGCCTGCATGGAGATAAATAAGAAAACCAAAAGGGTTCAGCCATCAGGAAGCAATGACACCACGCAAGGAATATGCTTGAGAAACTACTAAAGCATTAGCACAAGTAAGAAGAGTAGCATACGTGGTCATAATAGTGCCATTGACATATCCACCATAGCTGCAAGAAGTTACATTACACCCAGCACTACTCTGCTGCACCGTAACATTCCCAAGCATGAGATTGCTATTCCTACATTGCATGCTCGAACAAGAAACTGCCAATGAAGCAGGCATGCAGTACAAACTACAGCGACACCCACCACAAAGCAAATTAGCACCATACCGTATAAGGTGAAAAGGCCAGTTGCAGATCAAGAATATAAACAGTAAAGTCAATGAAACGGAAGGCAGTGAGCAAAGTGTTCAATTACTTGAGGTTTCCAGGTCCACAACTGCATTGGACACAGTGACTTGCAGAGATAGCGTAACTCCCATTTGGCACAATCAAACCAAAATCAGAAGCATATCTTGGAAACTTGGAAGCACAAGCTGCAACGCAAAAAATAAAGTAACACTCCTTATCCATGTTATTGACATGAACAATACTATCACTTATAAAAGAAACTATTATTGAAAACAAATGCAGCTGTGAATTTGGACACAAATTGAAGAGAAAAAAAAAAAGCAGTGCCCTTATGACATCGCGCATTTTCTTTTACCACAGTAACCAAATGGATTCAAAATAAGCTGATGTAACTACATTTTAGAAGAATTCATTGAAATCCAACAGAAATATCTACAAGATCACTAGATTAGCTAACACATGCAAACAAAATAATCACCTCCGAATAAAACCCACAAAGGAAATGACAATAACACATAACTCTATTTACTAAGCCCCGGTATATGTTACCTGGCAATGGCACAGCAAGAATATCACCAGCCTTAATTGCAGCACTCCCCATAGCATTAACATTCATCAAATCAGTAAGTGTAGTTTCGTAACGGGCGGCAATGGCAGCCAGCGTATCCACCTCCTTGACAACATAAGACAAATAAATAGCAGGCAACGAATTGTCCGTCCCATTAAAACAAGTACAAGGCAAAGGAACAACAAGGCTCTGCCCAACATCAAGCACTGAAGGATCGTCAATGGAATTCGCCTCCTTTATCTGGTCCGCAGAAACCAAGCCTGCATAGATTGAGTCTGCAATGGAAGATAATGTATCTGAAGGCCTTGTTTTGTAGTGAGTCGAGACGGATTTGCGGATTCCATCAACACATGAGCACGTGATGGGGATTTTGAGGAAGAGTTGTGAAGGGAGGATGTGGTTTTCGACATCTGGGTAAGCGATGTCGATGGCATTGGTTGTGAGGAGAGCTATTGGGTCAATTTGGAAGAGGGAGGCCACTTCTGAGACTTTGAGGTCTGTGTATAGCGTGTAGGCAAGAAGAGCATTGCAGGAATCTGAGTTGGTGCAAGGCTCAATGGTGGATTTGGAGGTCACTAAAGCTACTGCATTGATGAAAATCAAGATAAAGGTTACGGGTTTTGAGCTTGGCATCTTGGGGTTTTAGGTGTTTGCTCTGCTTTTCAAAATTTTCACCCAGAGAAGAGGATTGTAGAGCGGAAATGATGAAATGGGCAACAGCAAAGTCTTCTTTTTTAAAGAGAAAAAAATCGTAAGGTTTATGAAAAAAGGTTCAGGTGACAAGTTTTTCCTGGTTTTGGGGTTAGAGGTGAAGGGGAGTCTCGAATCACAAAAGGAAGAAGTTTTCTAGCTCTGGATTGGTACCGGAAGAGAATGTGATTTGGTTTGAGGTGATTGGATTGCTCTGCTTATGCTGCTACCCTCTAAAATCTAAGCCCGAAGGGAATTTATGTACATTGAGAGTGGGAGTTAGGATTTGATGCAAAAGACTGAATTTTGACTCCGTACTGGGAGAATTAGTCGTTGGTTGCAGGGTTTTAGGGTTTGTGACTCTACTTTTCTCTAATGTCCAAGAACAGAAAATATGCGTGAGAGAGAGAGAGTAGAAAAGGAGTGTTTTCTTTTTGAAACAGCAGAGAGAGAGCAAAGAGAGGAAGGCATGTGTGTTGGATAGAGGAGCATACAGAAGCCAGATTTCTCGATCCTCGAGTCGCATACGAAGCTCTTGTTGGACTAATTTGTCCTTCCCATGACGCTCCATTTCATAATTATAATTTACGACCTTTGTCTGATTCGAATTGTGGATTGATTAGGTAAGGTGAACTTATATATCAGAAAATTAATCTATTTTTTAAAATAAAATTATTTTCATTTAAAATAAAATTCGAGTTAGATCAATTTTTTATAGGTTATAAATTGACTTGCCATGCCTAGATTTTATAAGCATATTTCATTCTTCTTTGATTTTTTTTATTGGTATGATTGAGAAGGGTTTTTTCATTTAACAAAAAAGTTATCAATGTGTTTGTATGATTTAAAATTATTCACACGTTAAATATTTATTTAATTAGTATGTGTTATCAGTTTTTCCCATTTTCCCAATTTCATTCCATTAATAATTTTTATTAGACTTTTTTATCAAATTATCTATTTGTTTTTAATCCATGTCGTTATTATGGGAGATAACTGTTGAATGAAAAACTAATTAACTCAAACAGATGGGTAATTGTTTTTCTTTTGTAGCATGTACTTTTAGCTCCTTTTGGACTGAAGTTGAATGGGGGCTAATCGGTAATTCTGCAGTTTGCTTTTGAGATTTGGAGGCATCCGAGTGAACCCCACTTAAAAAACTATAATTCGGTTTCTTTTCAGATATGTAGGTAAGGAATTTCTGTTAATTTTCTTGCTGGTTTGTACAAGGTATTATCTCTATGTTCCACGCGACCCACCTGCGCGTGTGGTTATTATTTCTGGTTGGTTTGGTAAGTAGAAAGGGTGTCAAGGCCCGTTGAACCAACTCGCAGTTTAACGCCATCTATCAAACCAATCTCAAGTCCTCTGCGATGGATTTAATTAAGCCCATTTAGTATTCCATTCTAGATGAAAGTCAGCAAAATTTGATTTTTTTTAAAATATTATTTTATTTTGATATATCTGATATAAAAAATAATTTTTTAAAAATAAAATAAAATATTTTAATATACTTTTAAATAAAAATATTTTAAAAAATAATTATTACAACACCTTTAACATTCTTTGACTAGTTAGACTTTGATAATTGATTCACTTATTTGCATTTATCAAATATTACTGGCTACATTTCTAAAATAAAATAAAAAATATTAGCCAAGTTTGGTTCACGATCAAGAGAGTGAAGGGACCTTCGAACTATAACACCATGTAAACTGAGAATATTGAGGAATAGAAAACGTTGTTCCCGATGTTATAATATTTGGAAACTTGGCATGCAAAATAATGAATAATTATTTAAATTAAAAATCCCAGTTATGTCAAATGCTAAGTGTTGCATTTCATGTTTTTAAAATCGCTGTCTTTGGATAGTCGTTAACCAAACCTTTCTGGATACATAAACATCCTTCGTTTTTGCTAAGAATTATTTTTAAGTTTATCTCTTAGATTTAGTCAAAAAAGAAAATCATCCATGGCAGGCTCGAGGATCTTGTGAGAATTTTTTTTTTAATTTTTAGCTAAGTTTGTTCCACTTAAAATATACTTTAATAAAATATTTTTCCTCGTTGGTTTACTTAAGAAGACCTGACACTCATAAAATATTTTGCAATAAAATAAAAGAAAATATCAAAATAATGAAAAAACAACTTTCGATTCCTAAAAGATTCCTAAAAGATGAAAATGTTTTACAATATTAATCTTATTAAATAATATTGCGATAACAATTGTTTTTTTAAAATAATTTTTATTTATAAATATATTAAAATAATATTTTTCAAAAATTATTTTTAAAATTATCACATTAAAACAATCAAAATATATATTAATTTTTTTTTCCAAACAATTATTGGAACTCATTTCCAAACATTACCTTAATGAATTATACACTACACCATTAATGACATATTTTTTTCAACATGTATTTTTAACAAATATACCGAAAATTAATTCCCAAGTGATTTTCATCAAGACAACTAGACAATAAAAAAATAAAATATATATTTTATTAAATCTTTGTTATGCAAACTATTTTTTCAAAACAAGTTATTTTATATAAAACAAATGAGCCCAATGATGATTTTAATATATTCTATCCGGTGGTAGTTGGACGAGCCCAAATGCCCAGAGCAGAAGAGAAACTAAAGATTTACATAAAAGAGTCCCAGCCTATACCACCAAGCCCAGGTCGCTTGAAGGATCCCACAACCAGGAGATGTACACGGGCGTGTTTAGCTGTGATTGTGATTTAAAAAAAAAAAAGTAGAAATAATATTTAACCGTGATTTAAAAAAGTACGTATTTAATTAAAACTCGCATGAGATGAATTTCTTCATGTAAAAATAAATAAAATGTATTTTATTTTATTTTTTATAAAATTAATGTTTAAAATACAATTATAATTATGCACAATATAAAATATAAAAACTATAGGTACAAAGCAAAGCTATTAGAGTTAAAAATTTACCGGTGACAATTAGGATTTCGCTGGCCATAAAATCTTTTTCCCACGCAACGAAGGAATATCGGAACGCCCCTCTCTTGGATTGTGGTGGAGCAGTTGGGCCCCACAAACACGAGAAATTTCCTCTCCAAACACGCACGCACGCACACACACGCTCCAAACAATTTCCATGTTCCCCCCTGCTGCCATACGCAGTATGTGTACAAGCACCTGAAATCTCGCGCCAAATACGATAGACAAAAACTACTCGTATCCATCGGGCCATTAATACCCTTTTATTTTAAAAAGGCAATGGCCATAAAAATGCCAATACAAAATTTATACAGGTCAGTAATGGATTGACGTGAACACATCCTGAGTTAAATGGACATGGGTTCAGTGGGGTACATGTAGAAGAAGAATGAAATTTTTTGAAATGTTCCTTTAGTTTCTGAATTTTTTGAAAAAATTATTTTAATATCTAAATTTCATTTTCTTTACAAATTATTCTTTATTGTAAAAAGTTTTGATTTTCATATATTTATTAATTACAATCTAATCTCTTATTAAAAATATTTTTCAATTATATTTCTTATTTTAAATTATAAAAATGACTAAAATTAATTAAATAATTTAAATGTGTTTGAGGACAAGGGAAATATTAATCAAGTTTAAGTGGATATCTATTTAATAAATAAATAAATAAATAATAGATAAAATACAACTTATATCTTTTGTGAAACTAATTAGGGGTGATTATTTTCGATTCGGTTTGATTTTTATAAAAAAAAATAACCAAACTGGGAAATTTTTTTTTTTTTTTAAAAAAACTGAAATCGAACCAAAACCGGGTCAAACCGACCGGTTTCGGTTTGTTTTTTAGGGAAAAAACCAGTTTAAACTGATTTGGTTTTGTTTTTCTGGTTTGGCTCGGTTTTGGCTTGGTTTTGTCTAGTTTTTTCCGGTTTTTTTTGGTTTCGGTGTGGTTTTTTGGTTATAAAACCGAAACCGAACCGAACCGGTCTGTTTTTTCAAAATTTTAATCGGTTTTTTTTTTCAATTTGGTTTTTTCAGTTATTTTTTTCCAATTTTCTCGGTTTAATCGGTTTCTCAGTTTTTTTGCTCACCCCTAAAACTAACTGTTTGATATTGTATTTTTACTTGTATTTAAGAGCATTTTAAAAAGTATCAAATTGATATTTTTTTAAATGTTTTTTAATAATTTAAATTAAAATAAAAAAAAACTTTTATAAATTACCTTCCATCACAATAACAAATCCCATGTGAATTCATACCCACCTATTGGCCACAGGTTTATTTGATTTAAGAACGGCTCTTTTCATATAATTTTAGGCGGGAGAGTTTAAATTCCTGAACCTGGAAAAGAAAAGAGAAAGAAAAAACTAACGTAACAGTCTCCAATTGCAGATGGAATCGCTAAATAAGGCAGTAAACAAAGACTCCATACTGGTGGCATACTTGCGCGGCGGCGTCGGATCTCCAATGAAATCACCAGGCGGCGACAGATTCTCTCGCAATTACCAGCGCAGAAGCAGCGGGAGTTCCAGATCGCCGTTATCGCCGCTTGAGAATATGAAGACACCGATGGTGGATGAAGACGAAGTTCTAGTGATGGATGGAGTTCTGGTTTCGTCGCTAGTCGGAAGTGGATCATCATCCAATTCTTCCTCTTCTTCTTCGGGAAAGAGCGTGTACAAGAAGGAACTTCGCAGAGCTTGGGAGGATCTGGGACACTGCCGCTATGCCTCCAATTGTCAGGTCTCTTTCTCACGCACTCTCTTTATCAGTTTAGGAAGGACCGCTTGATTTTCAGCGAAGGAAGTTTGGAATGAAATGTTCAAGTTTATACTAAAACTCGTCTAGCTTCTTATAGCATTCTAAATCTGGCTCATGGAAACTTGTACCTGAAAATACACCTCTTCTTTTGGTAAGGAGACGAATTTGCTCATGAACAACGGTATGAAAACTAAAGAAACTAGATGTTTAAATTATTTTCTGTTGGATCCTGAGAGAGATTTGCGGGTTATGTGTGGGTTCCAAAATGTTGAGGTCATGAGTTGCTAGCTGCTGCTTAGTACCCTTTCAATTGCTAGCTGCTGCTGCTTAGGGAGTCTTAAAATGCCTTCACCTTAAACTGGAATTGCCCGGCTATGACTGGAAAGATTTTTTATTCGGTTTGCCTGCTAACCCTGCCCATGGTTGGCTGGTCATGACATACCAGCGACTATTTTTTGGCCATGCACTATTAGTCATACTGGAACCCTACACTAGCACTCCCGCGAGATTCTAGATTATTGCTGCTCTCTCTTTTAAATCTATTATGTTGATTGTGTACAATTGTCATTCGCTGTGATGCAATCACTGCTCTTCTAGTTCTCTGGTCAATTGATAAGAATATTTGTTAAATGCAGTTCGCACATGGAAATGATGAGTTTCATCCATCTGGTTTCTCCATCAAGAACAAAGAATTGGTAATTATAATGCCTTGAATTTCAGTTATAGAGTACCTTCGTACTGAATTTGGAAGAAATCAACGGTTAATACAGCCACTGTGCTTGTTTATTTGGTATTGCACAGGTACATGCTTGCAAGTCACATGCTGCTAGTCCTAGATCAAGCCCTTATGTCCAAAAGTGCCGCTTTCTTCCTTCTGCTATGACAAGTGCAGCAGTTGCAGCAAAACAAGCAGCCTCCCCTGCCATACCGGAATATACCAGCATCCGCCCCACCATCATCACATCTGAAAAATCCAGCAAGAATAGTACCACCTTAATCTCCACACCTGATGAATTTGGCAGAACCTATATCTCTATCAGGCCAGACCATAGCAACAAAATCCCAACTGCGAGCGTTAAATCTGAAGACTCTAGAATGGATATCACTACCACCGTCTGCTCTGACTACTGGTCACCACAGGATGATGGCATTGATATTGCTTTGCCACATCAGACTGACAAAGGCATATCAAGGGAAGAAGTAAATGCCTATATTCACAGCGTTCCTTATGGTCCGGCTACAAAGAATAGGTTGCCTGTATTCAGTGAATTTTGCCCTGGATAGTAGATCTCATTTGCAGAATTGCAGTACAAACGGCTTCCTTTTTCTCATGACACGTCCACGTTTAGACAGAAAATTGCTATCCATACTCTGCAGGTTGTCCAGGATCTACACTTCTATCTTTTATGGTTTGGCTCTAATTCCTATTCTTTACTTGATCATGGCTGGTTATTTGGATTAGATTGATACCATCAACTTGCATTCATCCTTACCGATATTACATTAACTACGTAGGTACAGATACAATACCGTATATATAGATTGTCTGTGCAGCTGGAATTATCATAGATGCTTTATGCTATATGTCTGCAATGAAAAAAATTCCTGGACCTGTATTTTTTCTTGCAATTTCTCTCTTTTTGTGGCTATTTGTGTGACATCTGTGGTTAATTGGTTATTTTGAAGTGACAATCCAGCAGGTTGCAGTTTCATGTTTATAGTGGGAAATTGAGATATAAATTACAATTTATGGAGAAATATATTGGAAGTGTCCTGATACCCGTGCTGCAACTGTCCTGATATTCTGACTGGAATGGCCATGGCCAGTGCTGCAGTACATCAAGAGTATTGTTGGCGGATTGATTTGAAGATAAACACAAGAGGCATTTAGAACACACTTCTCCTGGTTTATTTGTTGTGTCCATTGTCTTAATGAATGGACCTGGGTCCATGGTCGTAGAAGAGTAGAGTTCGATTAATCTTAGAAACAGCAATACCACCCTGCTTGTGCACTCCCTTTCCTGTTCTGTTCATTAAGACCATTAACATAGATTTAGACGTCCATGACTCCTATTTTGAAGTAATGTCCCCCATGAATCAAAACTTCAACATTTTTTCTTGCTCCAGTAAAGGTTTGTCAAGGTGGCATGGGTGGATTAATCCGGGATGAAGAGGATCAATGGCTTCATGGTTTGATCGGTCGGAAAACTAATATGGAAGCTGAGCTACAAGCCATTCGTCTTGGTTTGGAATTGATTTGGTCCTTGGATCGCGATCAAGTGACAGTGACGACTGACTCTTTTGAAGCACTTATCTGATTAAGGATGCTGGCAATTCTTCTCATGCTCTTGTCGAGAATTTCATAGTTGCTCTTAAATGCAGCTGGAGCTGTAGCCTGACTCATATGTCAAGGGAAGGAAATCAATGCACCGACTTCCTTGCCGAATGAAAAGCAAATGATTAGGTTCCTTCTCGAGTTTGGTCTCTTCTTCCTGAAGGTTTAAGTTCTACCACGTCAAGTTAGGTTCCTTGTAGAGTTGCCAGGTCCTAGTGTTCCCTTTTCTTTCTTTTTCAATCCGTTGCACCAGTTAAGTCACATTTTTCAATCTAACATCGAGTGTGCGGGGAAAGGTTTCGGAAAAAAGAGAACGGGCAAGGTTCAAGAGATAAGAAAATAATAATAATAAAAATTAAAATTAAAATTAATAACAGATCCCAAAGAGTTTTTTTTTTTTTTTTTTTATAAATTAACGCATGTTAAATAAAAATTTGGCAAGGTTCAAAAGTAGTTACGTTGCTGTGACAATGCAACCACGTAGAGGTTTAATAGGTTACGTATATATATATAAAAAAAATTCTCAATATTTATGTTTTTCCAACCAGTTCTTTTATTCAAAATTTTTAATTTTCAAAATCCTTGTTCTCCATATTTTTTTTATAATTATTAATTAGCCTATTAAATTAAAAATCTTAATAAAACTTGAGTCGACTACAACTGATTTGTTAATACTGAATTTAAATTTGAATTGACTGCAAGTAATTTACAATAAAATCCTATAGAAATTTAAATTTACTAGAACTAGTCATTTTTATTAATGAATATCACAAATTATATTAAAATTTAATTTTACTGTAACTTATCAATTTTAATGATAATTGTTATAATTATTGGGGGGGATCTCAATAAACTAGCTGTTTTAATTTCTAAAGATAAAATTTTTAAATTTAAACAAAATAAAAAAATAAATCAATAAATTATATTGTTAGCAACAATATAACAGCTTTTCAACATGATAATTTGAACCCCTGCCACGTGATGGATTAGATTCAGTTGCTAGATTATTAATGTTAAAATTAATTATAAAATAATATTTTTTTAAACTTTAATTAATTTAACAAACTTATTATCCGGCTCATTAAATTAAAATAACTTCATATAAAATTAATAAAAAAATAAGCTACCCTAATTATTATATAATAATTTAAAGATTAAAATTAAAAAAATTACTATAAAAATAAAATATAATAAATAAATAAATAAAATACAATACTTAAGTTTTAAATAACTTTATAGAAAATAAATTAAAATAAATTATAAAATATAATTTATAATTAATTTATAATTAAATAATAAAATTAAAAAAATCAGAATCATTATAATTTTATAAAAAAATAAATTATAAAATTTAATTTTTAATTAATTCTATAATAAAAAATAAAATTAAGTAAAATTCTAATAAAAAACCCCTCCCCTCCCTTCTCCTTTTCTCTTTCTTTTCTTCTCTGTTAACAAAACCCCCAAATCCTGAAAAAACACCCTAAATTTGTCGAAATCCTAAAATCGACTCACCAAATCAACCTAATTTAACATGGATATATCAGCCGATGACGAAGGACCAGTGGAGGTGGCGCCCGCAGCTGAAGAGATTCCGCAGCCGGAACAGAGTGTTCGCCGGAGATTGGTACAGTCCACCCTGTTCCCTCACAAATCGCCGGAAATCGGAGTGAACAGTGAAAAAAATATCGATGAAAACTGCAATGGCGAGGAGTATCGTGGGAGTCAAAATAAGAAGAAGAGAATGCAAAAGGGAAAGACAACTCCACTAACCAGAACTCCTAAAAAGGTAAGATTAAAATCGGCTGTAACTTAGGTACGGCAGACATTGCTTAAATTCTTGTTAATTCGGCGAGAATTATTCTAATTTGTGAATTTAGCTTAGTTTTTTTCTATAATTTTTTATACCGAGTGCTTTTACCAAACAGTCTATGTTGTTACAGCACAAATTACCGGGAACGGAATCCAACAGTTATCAGAAACGCGAGAAAGAATGTAATGTCGAGGATGGGAAAGGCGAAGGTGAATGTGAGGAGTGCTGTGGGAGTCAGAAGAAACGAACACGGATAGGAAAGGCAACACCACAAAGTAGAACTCCTAAAAAGGTAAAAGTAAAATTATCAATGTGCAAGCATGAATTGGTTCATTTTTTGGCGATTTGACTGGTTTAGTGTGGTTAAGATTTCAGCTTAGTTTGCAGCCAATTTATGAGCTTTATTTATTTGTTTTATTCAACAGTCAAAGGAGAAGTCACCTATGAATGGTACGCCTAAAAAGAATGGCACATGTAATGGGAAAGGCTTCTCTAATCTGGTAGAGAACCAGGGTGTATCACCACCAATCCCTAATTTGAGGTTAGAGGCCAAGATGGCAGCTGAGGTTAGTTATTTTGATACCATGAGTTCTAGAATTTTTTTTTGCTCTTTGTGCTTGTTCTCTTTGTGGGCTTAGAAACTGTTAGCTGGTGAAACTCCATGCTGCTTATGGAATTTTAATTGAAATCAGACTTTGGTGTGGAAATTGGAAATTCTTAAACTAAAAGCAATAAGTTAGCTCTTTCCAATACCTTTTGAAGTGAATTGGTGCATAACACAATCAATTTCTATTTTGTGTTTTATCAGGAAAATTCACGAATGTTTGCTGGAAGGCAAATTCATCCCTTTTTCTCATCATGGAAAGTGAGTAAGAGATGTGATGAGACAAATGCAGTGGAAAGTAATCATCACTTGGCCTGGAGAAAAGCTAAAGGCATCAATATTGGTCCTATTCATGTCTTTGAAAGGGGTCAGGTACAAATCATCTTTTGGCTATGCAACCTTGCAGTTGCAGGGTAGAACCATGGCTTGAATTTTAATTCCAGGGGACAAGTATGAAAACGAAAAATGCATTGGGAGCTATAGCATGCGTGTATCAAAGTTTGGCAGGGTTTGCAATAGTTTATATTTGTCCATGGATATCTATAAATCACCAAAAAGAAAAACATAAAATTGTAATTTTTTCAAAATCACCTCATGCAACGTACCTAGTTCTGACCTTGTGTGAATGACTGGACATTGAAATCAGTTTTCAAATCACTCTTGTACCATCAATGGTGTTAAAAGCTAGCATTTGTTTTTACTTTAAACTCGCATCAACTGAAACTTGAAGATTATTGTGTAGGATGATGCAAGGCCTCTTGATTGGAGTGATTGGATAGTTTGTGAGAAACCATTTATCGATAGCAGTTTTAGCGTAGAAAGCTCCTTCTCATCAAACTTTGAAGGCTTCATTGGATTATTAGACATAAATGATTTCCCCAGCTCATCGCATCCTCCTGGTACATCGCTTCCTCGAGATAATGCATCTTTGGATCAATGCCTTTGTCAACAAGAATTTGTGTGTGAAGCACCAGCATTAGTCTCTTCCAGATCATCTGATATTCAGTTGGGATGCTGTCAGCTTGCAGAGGATACGGACACTGTATGTATAGCAACACCTGTTAACAATCTTGTAACTTCATCCCCACCCATTTTTTAGTTTCATTTGGGAAGAAATTGTTCTCACCATAATTCAGATTGTTAAGCAACTCCGCATCTCACATTCCCATTTTTGAGATTATAAATGTGTTACTTGCAGGACTGTGAGTCTGTTGAAGTTCATATCATTTCTGCTTCTGCTAGAAAATCAGATGCTAAACAGCTAAGTGATCTTCTTCAAGAAAGGTTTGGATCATCATTGGAAATCCTACTTGTTTTACTCCCTTAGCCATATGTTGTTTGCATGTGAATTGATGACTTCTGTAACTGTTGCCACAGTTTATTTAGTGCACACTACTTTTATAAATGCAGTCCTTGAATTGTAGAGTAACGTCTTGTTGATGCTGATGCATGTAGTTGTAGCTTCAAGGGATCAGTTCTCTCATCTGCATCATATGTATAATCACTCCTGTTGCTCATTGATTCAGATTTTGATGGCTGAAAGGAGCAGTGGAAAGGTCCTTAATGAATGGAAAGAATTATACAAATGCTAGCTAGAAATGGAAGTCTGATTTGTGAATTGCAATAGCCATAAGCAAACTACATTATATGCAAAATACCAACTACCAAGTACCTGAACCAATTTAGCATTCTCTATCAGTGAATATGAAAGCAAATATTCCACTTCTACCTTCTTATATGATATAATTTCCTATTATCATCAGTGTTCAAGGTTTAATCTGCATGACATGGTGGTCAAGCAAGCAACAATAATCTAATAGCTTCAACTTGCTGCTGACATGGCTTAGCCCAAATGTATTGGTTGTCTTATCATAAAGTAGTTTGGAACTTGGTACATGAATGATAGTTTTGCTGCTGCTTTTACCTGACCAATCTCAGATTGTTAGTGTGTGTAGGTAATGTTCTTTTTATTGCATTGCTGATACTGCAGGACAGTCCCATTGTACATTAGTCGCACTAAACAGATTGAGAATAGATTATGGACAGATAAGTACAAGCCAAAGAAGGCCACTGAGGTGAGACTTTTGGAATCTACTTCTTTTATCATATTAACAGTCTTTGTTATGTGTAAACTTTTTTCTTACTGTAATAGTTTCTCCCAAAAATTCCTCCAGGTTTGTGGAAATGATGAGTCGGTGAAACTTTTGAGCAACTGGCTTCATTCTTGGCAACAAAGAGGCCATCAAGTCTGTACGGATACCTATAGTGGTGATGTATGTGATAGACAAGATGCTGATTATAACTGTGTCCAAAGTGAATCCGATTCAGAAAACAATAATGAAGGGGCCAGCCTTAAGAGTGTTCTTTTGATCACTGGACCAACTGGGGTATGGATCAATTCCATCTTAATGCTTCATGCATTCCTAATGCTTCTTCTTTTGGGTTGCCTGTGGAAAGAAATTAGTTGTGGAATTCCAAATGAAAGTTCCTCTTGTTTGCAATTCATAAAGGATAAGATTAAATTTTTTTCTGTTTTATTTTGTCTGTTCTCCAAAAAATGGAAGTTTTCTAGGAAACTTCTGGCAACTGCTTTTGTCAGCATGCTATACAATTAATAGTGTGCCCCTTGTGTTCTTCTCTGAATCATTTTTCTTAGTTTGCTTCAGGTCAGGGAAAGATTTCAGCATGTTCTGTGAAATCATTCTGATAATTCTGTTCATGTTATGAAATCTTTTGTTTTATGTTTTACAATTTGGATATGGACTATTCTTATTCATACTTTAGTTTAGAGGACTGTTTAGAATATTTGATGTAGAGAGTTTCTTTCCAATACTAAATAATGAACTGTATTGTCAAAAACTGTCCATAAATGCTGTGTGTATCAGTGTTAATTTAGAGCAAATTTTACTTCCATCTCAGTAGTTAGACATATTCTCTTTTGTTGCAGAGCGGGAAGTCTGCTGCTATCTATGCTTGTGCAAAAGAAGAAGGATTCAAAGTTCTGGAGGTGCTGCTGCTTAAATACTAATTTTCAAAATTGTATTACAGTTTTGGGGGCTTTCTTAGATGTCACGCTAAACATTGCATCCTTTTTTTTTTTTTTCCTGGGCAACATATAGGTTTTAATCCTTAGAGTGAATAGCATAACATTATTGCAGTAAAGAGAAAACTAAATGTTTTGCCATATCATCATCCTCAGGTCAATGCATCTGATTATCGAAATGGAGCTTTGGTGAAACAAAGATATGGAGAGGCATTAGAATCCCATTTCCTTCATTGGTTTGTCGATATTTAGCAGCAATGCACAGAGTTCCTTTAATTTGTTTTCCAACCTTATGTGACAGTTAAAAACCTTTGGGAATATAATCCTCTATTCTACAATAAAGTGTATTACTTCCAGGTCACAGAAAACTCATGTGGAACCACAGAGCAACAACATTACAGAATTTTCCTCAGCCCTTCCTGACAGTAAATTGACACAAGATTTCTACAGAAAAATGGCTGAGGTGGTACCAATATCAGATGAGGATAATTCTCTTGGAGCCACTGAGGCCACTGTTAAGTTTGATTCCAACGACAGCACAATTGCCTGTGGTCAAGGGAAACTTAAACACTTGATTCTTTTTGAAGATGTGGATCTTGCTTTTACTGAAGACCGTGGCTTTGTCGCTGCAATACAACAAATAGCTGAAAAGGCAAAAGGACCTGTGATACTGACGAGCAATTGTAAGAGGCTTGCTGGTTAAAATTGTTTCCTGTTGCTTGACATGTTTGTTCTGGTAGTTTCTTTTTTTATCATCGCTAATCTGTGATTGTGGTGATTACCAGGTGAAAACCCTGATCTTCCTGCCAATTTGGACAGGCTAGAAGTTTGTTTTGTGTTGCCATCAGAGAAGGAGCTTCTTCAGCTTGCAGATATGGTATGTTCTTCTTGTTATGTGCTTTCTCATGGTTTTGATTTTGTATCTAGCTTAAATTGATGTTTTTATTTACTCGTAGGTTTGTTCTGCTGAGAAGGTCAACATTCAAGCTCATCTACTAAAGCAAGTGGTTGAATATTGTCAAGGAGATATCCGAAAAACCATTATGCATCTTCAATTCTGGTTTCAGGGCAGACAAATTAGAAAACTGTCTCCAAGTAGAGAAGCACAAAGACTGTTTGGTCCTCTGATGTTTGGTCCTGAGGCTGGGCATCAAGTTTTGCCAAAGATGATGCCATGGGATTTCCCTTGTCAGTTATCTGAGCTAGTTGAAAAGGAGATTACAACTTCATTGTCTATGATGGTAGAAAATTCTGTCTCATTGGAGGTCATAAAAGAAGATTTTGAAGATAAAGAAATGCAGAATAACATAAAGATTCATAATTATGGCAAAGACAGTGGTACAAAGACCAAGAAGGAAGCAATGTTAAGCCAAAATTGCTTTGATAACGATTGCAATCACTTCAAAATCCCATATGATTCATGTGATGTTTTCAATTCCCCTGGAACCCCGGTGTCATTGACTCCAAGAAAAAATAGAAGGAAGCTCGATGTAGTAATGCCTTCTGATTCTGAAGATGAGATGGTCAGTGAGAGAGTTACCTTAATTACAGACAGGGATACTAAATATGAATTAATCCTTGAAGCTGATGGTGGATTTCCCTCTCATTGTTTAAGCATGCAACCATCAACTGACATGCAACTTTGTTCTGGAGCGGAGAAACTAGATGAAAATCATAGTAAATATCCAGATACAGGAATTAATTTACATGTAAAACAGACATGCATGTCTGTTGATGCATCATGCGTGCCAGAATCATCATTTGCTCCTGAAACTGAAATTAATAATGGAACAGAGGTGTCATTTAGCATGGTGTCCTGCACTCGAGTGGGTGATGCTTTCGAAGAAGTTTCAATGATCATGGAGTCAAAGCAAAACCTGTTGCCTGTTGAAACTGACAATATTGACAGATATGTGCCTGATATGTTGGGAAGTACTTGTGATGTGATTGCAGAATTATCTCCTGAAGAGGTAGAAGATTCTCGAAATGAACATGTGGAAGCTTTAACAAAAGAATATCAAGTGATGGATAAGTATAGCTGCATGGATTTCAATAAGAAATGCAAGCCAGTGGAGAAATTTCGATCCTGTATGATGACTGATTTAGTGCGTGAATCATGGAGAAAACTTTGCAATCGTCACCCAGATCTAAGACATTTTGTCACCTCAGAAGTCATAGATGCTACTGGGATGATGGACCTTGCTTATGGAATGAGCAATCTGATTTCAGAAGCTGAACTGTTGCTTTCGAATCACCGGACTTTGGTAAGTATGCATTAACAATTAAAACCCTTTCCTTGTGTATTATCCTCAGCTAATTAGTTCATGATGGTGCATTTTTATTTTTATTTTTATTTTGTTGCAGGATTCCTTGGAATCATCAGTGGTCCATTCTGAGGTAATGGATGTATCCAGCTGGTTTGATGAGAATTTGACAATGTCATCAGCAATAACGCAGCAAGGTTTTTGCTTTTATGCCAAAGAAATTGCTAATTTAGGGTTAAAAATGGGTTTGGATTCCAAGGCAGATTTCACCAGGGAGATGCTGTCCACCACTAGCATGATGGAAGTTGATAACTTGGTTAGACAGAATTTGAGTAGCAAGAGCTCACACTCTAGGTTGAGTACTGAGATGAACCAACCAGCAAGGGATGCGTCATCAAATAGGTACGGAGCTCAAATCTGTAGTCACACACACAATTTGTAGACTGACTTGAATATTTCCACGTAGTTGAATTACAGATCAAACCTCACAATTTCATATTAATTCACTGCCGTGCAATGAATCTTAAAATTCTCTTGGTACTGCGTGCATGTTGCAAAGAATCCGTGCTATTGCCATATCCTTTTTAATTTCTGAATTAAAACGGTATTTGTGAAGAGACGAAGCAAAGCTAGGTGGGACTAGATGCCTGTATAACATGCGAAATAATGGCATATAGGCTACTATCAAATGTCTAATCAAGCAGTGCATATTTTGTCTGTTTATGTATTGATTTTATGAGGATCATTCCTTTATTTTATTTTTCCCTTCCGACGTCTCAGAGCATATCTTATCAGCTCGTTTACAAATTCCCCCGTCCCCCGATTTTAAATTATTCCTTTGTACAAAAAAATTCCCCAGGGAATTTCATGCCTTGTAACTGCCAATTGCATGCATTTTTCTCTTGCTTTGTGAACCAAATCTCTATATTAACTGCAACGCTCTCTCTTAACTCATTAACTTTGGTATTCTGCAAACAGTGAAATGAAGCCTTGTCTTTTTTATATAATTCAGTCACTAGTCCCTCCGCGATCATACATGACAGTGAAAGGTGAAGCGTTCTATGAATATCTATCTTCTCTGGGCCACATTGCCAGATCAGAAGCTTCTCGATTATCGGCAAGCATTGACAGGATAGAAGGAAGGAGGTACATAATTGTGATGTAGAATTACCCAACCTTTTTAATGCTAGTAATCTTTATTGGACATTACCTCGAGTTAAATTAATTACAATTTATCATATAGGACACGAGCTTCTCGAAACTACTTGAGCGTTGGTTCTCTAATGTTGTCTCCGGAAGAAATTTCATTGCTGGGTCGGTCTAACATCTACCCGAAGATCTTGTCACAATCAATGGACAGCACAGATAAAACTATATAACCTTGTTGCCAAGGACTCACAGTGTACAGTTTACCTCTTCACTAACTCTGATATAGCTATTAACTCATTGCAGCTGCTACGAGAATTGAGGACATCATGTAAAGGAGGCGAAGCTTCTTATGACATTCGGGAATCACAGGAACAAATAGAGTGGCTGCTAATTTTATTTGTATCGATGGCATGGCCCAAGATTTGTCACGCGTCATGCCAATGAGACCTGGGGGCGAGATCTGATTTGTCACCTTGATTTGGGTGCCCGATTCCATCTTGATTTAAAGCTAATACTGATTTCTTTTTTATCTCGTATTTGAAAAGTCATATTTTTTATAGGTCATTTTTCTTCTTAGGTTTTTGTCTATATGAGATGTGAGAATATTTTGGATATTAAATGAGAGATTGATTTTATAAAATAAAATTTTACATTATTTTAAAAAAATTAAAAAAGCAAGGATTAAAATTAATCTAAATAAAAAGCATTGTTTTTTTATCTTTCATTTGCACGTGGAAATTCTCTGAGTTTTCAAGTTTTTTTCATATTTGATCCCTAAATTTTAGTATTTTTATTTGAATTCCCAAGTTCATTTTTTTATGATTAGAAGATAAAGATCCGAGTTTTTAATCAAAAACCTAATTTAATAGTTATCTTCATCTTAAAATACTTAAAAATATTATAAATTTTAATAAATTTATTTTTAAATTCAAAACACCCGTTAATCATAGCACTAACAAACTTTTCCTTATCCCAATGTACTTTTTCCCACGTGTTCAAACAACATCTCTTTCATTGAATACACGCTCTGTTTTATAGTTTTTTATTATTATTTTTATGGGATTTATCTTTATTTCTAAAATGAGGATTGTCTTAAGGTTTTTTTCTCATCTTCAGGTCTCATGCTTTGATATTTACTTTGACAAGTAATGAGTATTTTTAGTTCAGTGGATGCCTGGAATTTAATGAATTTAATGGATTATAAATTTAAAAGATTAATATAGATTTATAAAGTTTATTGGAATTTATTTAATTTTTTTTGTTTCATTTTTTAATATTTTATTGTTAATGAGAGGTGATTAATTATTATTGATAAAGTGATAAAGAATGAAATAAAAATTAGTTTGAGTGAAAAATAATTAAAAATAAAGTGAATGAATAAAAATTAAATATAACATAAAATAAAATGAACAAGAATACCAAGTGATGCAATTGAATAAATAATTCAAGTACGGTATAAAATATCAAAAAATATAATTAAAAAATATATTTAATTAAAAAAATAATATAAAATATCAAGAGATGAAATTGAATTCAATTAAAAGAATATTTTTAAAAATAAAATCAAATATGAAAGTTGAAAAAATCAACAGAGCATTAAATTGAAAGAAAATCATAACTATATAGATAATTCAAAATAAAACAAATAATAATAAAAAATAAAGATAAAATCTTTTAAAAAAATTAAAAAAATTACTTTGAAAATATACAAGGGTTGACCTTGAAACCCAACAAAAAAAAAAGGAAAGAAAAAAAAACTCTCACCAGAAAAAAACCTATCATATTTTTGCAACATCTGCTGCCCAATAATAAAAACAACAACATGAAGATTAAAAAGTCATCTTGAAAACCATAGTTTGTTTGTCAGGCGGTGTTGTGAAAACCATAGTTTGTTTGTCAGGCGGTGTTGTGAAAACCATAGTTTGTTTGTCAGGCGGTGTTGTTTGTGCCATCTAAAGATCATGGGAGAACCCATGCGTAACCGCTTGGTCATACTTGATGACTACTAAAAAAATAAAATGAAAAGATAAAAAGACCCTTTATCCAAGGCAAAGACAATTCGCATTTAAAGACTTTGTGGTTATTTTACTAAAATAAAATGAAGAAGTCAAAACTAACCCTACCCACCAGTGCATATTTTTCTTTTATTTCGATAATATATTCGTTATTTTAATGTTCACCACACAATATTGTTATAACTCCAAAAGCCATTTGTGTAACCGTGAATGACAAAATTATCATTTAATTGTTACAATCAACAATGCAAATATGTTTCTTTTAATATTTTTTAAACATAAAAACAAACCTGCTATCAGCGTTTTTTTAATTTCATAAAAGAATGAAGGAATCAGCGAGTTGCCCGGGAGCAATGGTCCGGAAGTCAGATCTCATTGACACGAGTAACCAGAAAAGACCCAGTCCACGGCGGCCCCCAACTCTGACACTGTCCTTTAATTCTTGGCGTTTGCAAGATTTATTCACTGATAATTCATTTTATTTTTTATTCAAAAAAGAGAGAGACGGAGGAATACATCTCATTGTAGGCTGTCTTCTGGTCTGGATTAATTGATCAATGACCTCTCTGACCACACTGACGTTTCTAGTGAGAAGGAAAGGAAAGGAAAGCATCCATCACTTTATGGTCGCTAGTTTCAAATTTGACAGTGGGTTTATTTACTGTGCTGCCCTTCCCGCTCTCAACTTGGATCGAACCGCCGGTTCACTGCCAGTAGCAAAATTCAACTAGAAGAAACAAATTATTGATAACTTCTTTATATTTTAACATATTTAATATTAGTACTTTTTAAAAATATTAAAAGAGATTTAATTGATGAGAAAATGAATCTTTAAATAATCTATTTTAACTTTTAGTTTTTTACATATACATAGGAATGAATTTTATTTGATGTAAACTTCATTTTAGTTCTCTATTTGTTTATCACTTTAGAAGTTAAAGATAAAGGAAGAAAAAAAAGTTTTTTTTTTTACAATAGTTCTCTATTTGTTTATCACTTTAGAAGTGCAAGATAAAGGAAGAAAAAAAAGTTTTTATTTTTACAAGAATAAAATAAAAATAAAATTTTAATTTTAATAGAATATTTAAAAGGGTAAAAAATAATGATGATATAAAAGTAAAATAACAAAACACCTTTTTAATTTTTTATGGATTAGCGCAAATCTCAGTAGGAGAAGAGAGAAAAGGAAAAAATGTATTACGTGGCTCACCACTGTTCCTCGATCGGCACTTGAAGCCCCACCCGGCAAAACATAACGCATGAACGTGGTGAATGGCTGTTCATGGCCACCAGAGAAAGTCACACGTACTGCTTGAACCTGGTGAGCTTTCTCCACATGTTAACACGTATGATCAATGCGCCACCTAAGCTGACATGCCTATTCACCTTAGTCTACTGTATTTGTTTTACTTTCAACTTTAGCCTCTCGGCACTTAATTATTATATATCAATATAATTTTATTTTATTTTTTTAATCGAGTATCAATTCTTAAGGTTTTCTTTTACATTGCATGAATCTCGTATCAAGGTATATAAAATAAATTATAAAGTTAAATTTTAAATGAAATCAATGCAAATAAATCAAATTAAATAAAAGAATTAAGTGATGAGGGAAAAAAACAATATAAACTCTCCCTCGACCTTGCTAATGAGTTCCTAATATTAGCAAAAACAAACTTATTTGTTTAGGCTTCAAATCCAGATCCCAAAACTTTAATTTTTTTAAATTAATAAAATAAAATTTTATTTTATTAAACAAACATTAATCGAATGACAAAAAAAATCATCCGATATCATGAAGATTTTAGCTGTAGCTCTTATGTGATGGAAACTGTTACACGCAGAAATATTTTCACAGTACACCTTGATAACATTATTTCATGTTAAATAATACTTTAAAATCTCAAATACTTATTCTATAGTTTTTATTTTGGATTTCAGATAACCTTTAAAAAATCTACACTCACCGACCAAAAATTAAGGTGAACTTTAGGTCAAATTAAACTTAACTTTGATTTAGAATTTCATATTTTAAGTGTTAAAAACTATTTTTAAAAAAAATATATATTCAATCCATTTTTTCATCAATTTTTTTATTTCAAATTATATATTTTAACGACAAATATTGCATTTTTAAATAATTATTTGTAATCGGGATTAATGAAGGAATATGTGCTTCTATTCAAAATACTTGAATAAAAAATTCAAAAAATAAAATTCAAAAACTAATTTGAATTTGATATAAGGTTCGGAGAAATTTTGATCATCTAGCCAACGTTTTATCAAACGATTTTGAGACCGGTTTCTAGAGAAGAAGCTGAGAAGCACTAAAGGTGGAGTTTTCAAAAATCATCCCTTGTTAGAATCTGTTTCGGAAGGCGACCAGCTGCGTGGTTGGATGCATTTCCATTCGAAACCTAATCACGTGTTTGGCGTTGTAAAACCTGATGTATTAATAAATTAAGTATTTTCAAAATTGTAAATGAGATAAAACATAGTTCCATCCTCACCTCACCTCGATCCCTTGCACAAATTTTAGTAAAGACTCATGGGTTTTTTTATTCATTCTGATAAAATTTAATGAAAGTTTTGAAAAAATAATACATGTTAGAAAAATATCTAAAAAATTACATAGTCTAAAAATAAATATATTTATCAACATCAATTTTGTACAGCTAGCATTAAGAATAACAATTATTTGGTCAAGATGAAAGATGATTGTCCCCTACAAATTACAAATTAATTAACATGTATAAAAATCAACTTAAAATTTTATAAAATTCAATGATGAACAAACAAGACTCAAGATACAATCTTCATGAAATAAAAATGATATAAGTTGATGCGACATGATAAAAAAAAATTAAAAAATAGAAAAAAAAAGGAGCTATCATAGATTTATGGAGATATCAATACTTTATTTTTAATATATTTGATATTATTTAAAAAATTTTGAATAAGTTGATGCGACATGATAAAAAAAAAATTAAAAAATAGAAAAAAAAAAGGAGCTATCATAGATTATGGAGATATCAATACTTCATTTTTAATATATTTGATATTATTTAAAAGATTTTAACAAAATAATTCTAAACATGAAAGACCATCAATTAAAATTACAATTGACTATGGCTTTTATTTAAAGTCAATTTAAAGTTAATTGTGGTCTAGTTTAGTGGTTTTTGAAGATATTATTAAATTTTTTTAATAATATTTAATATATTAAAAATAAAGCCACAATATATTTTTATAATTCATTTTATCTTTTTTTTTTCCCTTAACCATTTAATTATCTGTCTCATTTTTGAATTATTAAATTTTTATAAAATTCTAGGATGGTTTTTGTTCGAGGTTAATTTCCGTGCATGTGATATATATTTTGATCTCAACTAAACAATTGTTATTTTTATGTACAAAACTAATATTTAAAAATACAATTGTGTTTGAAATATATTATTTTCTAAATATTTTTTCAATCTAGGTTACAATCCTAGAATTTTTAACAAACTGTTTC